AGATCACAATGATGCTCATCCAGTAGCTAAGGACATGAAGCTCAGGAAGGATGCAAGACTTAGACAATGGAGGATGACAGATCCCTATGCTGTTAGGAGAAGGACTGCTGTGGACTACAGGTTCCATACAAAGGAACAACATGACTTCTATGAGACAGTGCTGCTTGATAAGAAGCCAATTGTCTGTGATATGAGATGGGTGGACTGGGAGTACATCAGAAAAAATGAAGAGCATTATCCAGGAGTCTATGATAGTTTCAAGTCTTGTGGGGTAGAAAAATTTGTTGGGCAGAAGCTCACAAAATGGAATGATGAGCTTATTATGCAGTTCTACTCCACAACTCACTTCTACCTAGATGGAAGGGTTGTCTGGATGTCTGATGGTACTAGGTACCAATCAACTATTGAAGAATGGGCAAAATTGATCAATGCCCCTAAGGAGAGTGAAGATGACTTGGATGTCTATGCCAAGAAGAAGAAGGATCACAACTCCATGGCGCATATGTATAGAGAGATCCAGATGCTGCTGTTGAGACACACAAATTTGGATCAGTACATTACCTTCTGTCAGGTTTGCCAACAATCAGCTGGATCCTCAGGCATACTTTGTTGCCAAAGTCAGGTGATCACAAGATGATCATAGGCCATGCAATTAATTTGCTTCACATATTTGATGTGCCTCAGAAGTTCAAAGCATGAGCTTAATTGTTGAGACTATAAGAGGACAACTGCTGACCAGAAGAGGAGTTGTGGGTATGCCCCACAGATTCAGGAGCTCATCAACTCTAAGATGGGCACATGCACTTACCTCTTGGACAAGGACCACCTGCCCATCTACCCAGACTTTGAGGACAATACTGTAGTGATGGCCTCCACTAAGTGGTTCAAGCAAGATGCCAACTGCTGAAGAGGCATCTCATTAACTGTTGAAAAGGCTGCTAAGATGCCAACTGCTGAAGAGGCATATCAATACTTCCTGAAGAGCAAGCAAGATCATCTTGGCTACTTGATTGCCTCCACTCTGAGGATTGAGAAGGGTTTGGCCACCCTGGCACAAAACCAGGAGAGCTTGGAGAGAATCATGGAGCAGAAGTTCTATGATTTAGATGTGAAGGCCACTGAGATACAATCAGTTGTTGAGCCACTTTAGGATGAAATGGAGGAGAAGAAGGGCAAGTCTACCATAAATACATTTGCTAGAGTGCCCAGAAGCCAGAGATCTGCTGCAGTGCCAGTGACAGACACCAGAGCAACTTCATCAGCACCAGCAACAGCTTCAGTGCCACCAGCTCTAGTAGCCACTCCACCAGCTCCATCATCCTCAACTGATGCCTTCGTCCTTGGAGTCATTTCTACACCACCACATCAAGACCAAGCCTGAGAGTCGATTTAGCACTATGCATTTTTTATGAACTTTTTGGTAACTTGTTGCCAAAGAGGGAGAAAATATATAGATCATAGGCTTCGAGAGAGAGTATTGCTTTTGTTCTCTCTTGTTTTTGGTGGTTGAACTTTGTTATTTGGTTGGTTGAGATACTCTATACGTTTGTGTGATACTTGGATGATCATGTGTTTGATCATATGCTATGCTACATTAATGCTTGTTTGGATGATATTATCTCTTATATTCTCATATGATCGTTCACTTTGTTTGGTGATGAGTGCATGTATTTAATTATCATCATTTTGAGCGCTCCACTAAGATGTATGTGACATGGAAGAGGAACCCATGATCCTAATTCATTGTGCATTTGCAGTCCAAAGCAAATCTTCAACTATGCACAAATTTAGGGGGAGCTCTTGTTTTTCACATACTTCTCAAAGCGACAATGTTTTCAATCTTATTATCACTTGTCGAAGCTTTGATCTATATGTTGTCATCAATTACCAAAAAGGGGGAGATTGAAACTGCAACTATCCCTAGGTGGTTTTGGTAATTCCTAACAACATATAGCTCATTGAGCTAATGCTATTCCAAGATAAATATTTCAGGAAAGCTCAATGATTGGCATGGCATGGATGAGAAAAGTGGACCCCTCAAAATGCTAAGGACAAAAGGATTGGCTCAAGCTCAAAGCTCAAGACTCTACATTTTCTATTTTAGTGATCCAAGATCACATTGAGTCTATAGGAAAAGCCAATACTATCAAGAAGGGATGAGGTGTTGCTTAATGAGGTTCTTGCTCAAAATGCTTAGTGATATGCTCCAAAGCCCTCAACTACTTTCTCACATCCACATATGACCTAAACCAAAAGTCAAACTCGGCCCCACCGATTCTTTCTATCCGGCGCCACCGAGTTCAGATGTCATAGCCACTGCCACAAACTCTAAGCAAAACGGTCTCAACAATTGGGATCTCGGTCTCACCGAGATGGGATTGTAATATCTCTGTTTCCCTTCATAACGTTTCGGTCCCACCGAGATGAGAGATCGGTCCCACCGAGATTGCAATGTAAACTTTTTGTTTCCCTTTCGTAACGTTTTGGTCCCACCGAGATGAGCGAATTGGTCCCACCGAGTTTACCTGACCAACTCTCTGGTTAGCTTATTACCAAAATCGGTCTCACCGAGTTTGTGTAATCGATCTCACTGAGATTATGTTATGCCCTAACCCTAACCATATCGGTCCTACCGAGTTGCATGTCGGTCCCACCGAAAATCCTAACGGTCACTAGATTTACTGAATCGGTCCGACCGAGTTTCTCAATTCGGTCCCACCGAGATTGGTAAGTTGTGTGTAATGGTTAGATTTTGTGTGGAGGCTATATATACCCCTCCACCTTCTCTTCATTCGTGGAGAGAGCCATCGGAACATGCCTACACTTCCAACTTACATTTTCTGAGAGAGAACCACCTGCACTTGTGTTGAGGTCAAGATATTCCAATCCTACCACAAGAATCTTGATCTCTAGCCTTCCCCAAGTTGCTTTCCACTCAAATCTTTTTTCCACCAAATCCATATCCTGTGAGAGAGAGTTGAGTGTTGGGGAGACTATCATTTGAAGCACAAGAGCAAGGAGTTCATCATCAACACACCATTTGTTACTTCCTGGAGAGTGGTGTCTCCTAGATTGGCTAGGTGTCACTTGGGAGTCTCCGACAAGATTGTGGAGTTGAACCAAGGAGTTTGTACGGGCAAGGAGATCGCCTACTTCGTGAAGATCTACCCCTAGTGAGGCAAGTCCTTCGTGGGCGACGGCCATGGTGGGATAGACAAGGTTGCTTCTTCGTGGACCCTTCGTGGGTGGAGCCCTCCGTGGACTCGCGCAACCGTTACCCTTCGTGGGTTGAAGTCTCCATCAACGTGGATGTACGATAGCACCACCTATCAGAACCACGACTCAAAAATCTCCGTGTTTCCAAAATGCGTTTGCCTCCTCAAACTCCTCCCTTTTACCTTCATATGCAATTGTGTTACTTTCCGCTGCTATACTCTAGAATTGCATGTGTAGGTTGACTGTTTGACTTGTGCTAAGTTGCTAAAACCTGCCAAGAATTAAAATTGGGAAAAGGCTAAGTTTTTATTTGGTCAAGTAGTCTAATCACCCTCCTCTAGACATAGTTTCGATCCTACAAACCAATTAGTAGAAACTGTTAGGAAAACTCAGTTACTGGATGAGAATGACACCCCCATTTGGTCTTTGGAGACTAACGGGGTGTACTCAGTCAGATCTCTTTACAAGCAGATCAATTTTGGGGGGATAATTTCGGCTGTAAATGACAAACTCTGGAAAGTTCTATGCCCTCAAAAAATACATGTCTTTCTTTGGCTGTGGGTTTACGACAAGATTCTTACTCGTGATAATTTAGCCAAAAGGAGATAGGTTGATGACATGACTTGCCTTTTTGCAATGAGAATGAAACGGTGCAACATTTGCTGTTTGATTGTATTGTGGCAAAAATAGTTTGGGAAGTTGTCTCTGTCTGTTTTGAATGCCCTTTCTTTACCAGTTTTTGTGATGTTATTGCTTTGTGGCAAAAATGTAAAAAGAAGCCTGTGCTGAACTTGGTAGTGGCTGCATCCTTATGGAGCCTTTGGAAACTAAGAAATGAATTCTGCTTTCAGGGCCGCACTTGGAGAAATGCCGCATGTGTTCTTGTGAAACTAAGGTCTCATCTAAAACAATGGAAAGTGCTCTGCGACGACACTCAAGCAGTGCTGCTACAAAGATGTATTCTTCTGCTGGACAAAAAGTGCGGAGAGCTGATGCGGTTTGCGTGGAGATGAGCGCAGACGTTCAGATGGCTGGGATTATGCCAGGGTGTTAGTTCTCCGTAGTTGTCCCTTCCATTCCGGGTCTGTAATGATTAAGAGAGTTGGGGAGTGCTTGGGAGAGAACCTGATCTTATTATGTT